CGCGCCCCTTGGAGAACCCGGACTCGGGCGGTGGCGGCGGGTACTCGCGGCGCCAGCCCCGCCCCGCCCCTGGGGCCGCCCCTCCCGCACCGCTCGCCGCCCGCTCTGCGCCGCCGCGCCAGCAGCAGCCCGGCCGCGTGAGAGTCCCGGGCGCCCCGCGCAGCCGAGCTCGGGGCCGGGCCGGGGGTGGGAGGGGGAGCGCCGGGGGCGGGGCCGAGGGCCGAACCCGCCCGCCGCCCCGCCCAGACACGTGCTGCCTTTGTTCCCGCCGCGGCGCCCGCAGCCGCGGGCCGCGGGGGCGCTCTCGGCCGCGTCCCCGCCCTGGCGACGCGCGGCCCGCCCGGACTGAGGTTGCCGCACGAGAAGCCATCCACAGAGGCTGGCCGGGACTCCGAGATCCCTTTTTCCATTAACATCCTCGCCACCCGGGAAAGATGCTGGGGCGCCGGGGGAGGAGAAGCCTTTGCTGAAGCCACTCGCATCCCGATGGGCTGTCCCATCGACTTTCGTGCCTCCCCCTCCGGGTCCTCTGTTCCCGCACTCCAGGTAAATGCCCCGGGCCTAGAGGTAAATAGAAATCCAGGCCAAAGAGGCGTAGGTAGGCGTTCCGGGTTAGTCCGCAAATACCGCCTGGCTTTCCCACACCAATAGGGCTCTGAGAGCCCCTGGGTCGTCCGCTGCCCCAGAGACGGGCCAGTCCTTCACAGATGTGACCTCGACGTTTCCACTGGCCCTCTTACCAGTTCTAGTAAAGCTGAGGCAACCGTTTTTCCAACCAGCCTCTGATCCTCTGATTTAACTGGTTTTCATGCAAAACATGTATCATTTGAAGATCTGGCACCAGTAAAATTGTAAAATTCTGACTCGACTAAGAACAATTCCTCTCACAGACAAGAATTCAGATCCTTCACAAGAATCATTCATTTGTTTTTCTTTTAGTTTTGTTCTGTAAATTGATTTAGAGTTGACCACAAACCAGAGAAACAGAAGCTCCAACCCGTATCTTAATCCAGATTATCACCTCTGGACCAAAAGATAAGGAAGTGGTAATCCAGATTAGACTACCCAATTCCCTGGCCACTTCACACGAGGCTGTCAACCTGTGCCAGCTCTGCCAGTTCTGCCTACTGCCCTACACAGAACAATGCTGCTATCGAGTCAGAAAGCGCTAGAATTTGTGTATGTACTACCCAGCGATTTCTCTGTCAATAGTGGCAATTGAAAGCTTTAGGGACTTTGGTGACCGTAGAATGGAAAATGCATTGTTCTGTACCCAGAGGGCTACTTCTGAAACCTCCACAGCAGCTGTCATCTTAACTTAGATGAAAGCAGGCCCTTAGCTCGCTGCGCCCCTCCCTCCAAATGTTCCTCGGTGTACAACCTCTGCCTGCTTTGAAAATGGAGTGATCCTCAACCCTCCTTCTCTATAGTAAGGAGCTTGAAGAGGTAATCTCCTCCAGGCCCCCTGGGCCAATTACTCTCTTTTCTCTCTCTAAGGCTAAGCCTTTCTCCCACCAGCCCCAGGTGGAGAGGCCCAGAGGCCCAGCCTTTGTCCATATTGCCTCTCAGGGTCGCCTTCAGATTCTGGTGTTGAGCAAAGGTTAAATGCTTTCCATTTCACAAAACGGGCCTAGATTTCGAAGCCTGTAATCCTCCCCTTAGAACTATCTGGACCCACCCTGTTCCCTGTACCTACAAATTTCAGTTCTAGCTATTCCAGTTCATGGCAGACAGCACCAAGGTCCACTTTACCCCATTTCAGTTTCCCAAACCTAAGAAGCATGCACTTGCCTGGGCCTTTTCCAATCTGACCACACTCTGGTATCTTCTCTTCTTGCCTTTGTTCAGCCAGCCTTCCCTAGCACTTTCAAAAAGAGCTCTTTGCATTACTACCTCAATCTCCTCACGTGTCAAAGGCAAAGCCATGTTTGCAGCACAGCATGAATGAAACGTGCACTGCCAGCCCGCTTGCTACTGTGACTGAGGAAAGAGGCTGACCGGAAGTCCTATCCACCTGGCCATGCCCACTGTTTCAAGGTACCCACCGTCACCACCACCACCCCAAGCCCCCATCACAGCTCCAATTGCAAGGCAAGGAAGAAAGGTCAATATTCTGCCACAAATGGCAGAATCAAGGCCCCAGAACGCAGACCTGGCTGAACGAAGCAGAGCTGTTTTCTTCCCAGTCTTCTTCAGAGAAGAGCTCCAAACCCCATCAATCAGCCTACGTATCCTATAGCCTGCCTCTAGCTTCTAGAAGGGCCAGCCTCCTTGTTATCTATGCCATTAGCCTTATGCTATAGCTGGCATTCCTGTGTATCATCAGAGAATCCCGTCCTCTGCATGGCCCCATTCCCATACTACCCCAAGAAGGAGAGGCCAAGGCCCCAGCCAGCTACCTTCCAGAAAGGGCTCCAGATAAAGCAAGGCTAAGCCCTGGCTTCTGAGGAAGCCATGCTTTGTTCCTTCAGGGATCACAGAGCAGCATCTAGTGGCCCTTCTGGGCAGCACAGATTACATAACTAGCACTCAGCAGTGTTCCAGAGCCAAGCGCCTCAGCCTCTGCTCCCAACACCAGCGCTGTCTCATTAGCACACAAGAAAGCCTTGGCACTGATGCACGCTGGTGCCAGCAAGGGTCCCTAGATGAGGAAGCCTGGCCCAGGCCAGCCCATGGGCCACCGGACCCTCTCAGCTGTGTCCAGACCCAGCCTCCTGGAGGCCAGGGAGGGAAAGCAGTCCCAGAGGTCTAGAGCAGCACAGTCCAAAACAGTGTAACGTGAGCCACAAAAGCAAGCCACATAGATAAAATTGAGTATTTTCTAGTAGCCACATTAAAAAAATAAGAAAAAAAAAGAAACAGGTGGGTTTTAATAATATATTTTATTTAACCCATGATGCTCAAAATATTTCAACATCTATATGAAAAAGTTGAGCTATTTTACATTTTTTGTTTCATACCAAGTCTTCGAAGTCCGGTTTGTGTTTACACTTGCAACGCATCACACTTCGAATTACCCACATCTCAAAGGCTCGACAGCCACATGAGGCTAGTGGCTACACAGTGGACAGCACGGGTCTAGAGGAGGTCATCAGACCCACAAAGGGAGCAGAGGAAAGGGCTGCTGCCGACTGAGCTCCTCGGGGCTGCCCTAGGCTTGGGAAACCCTCCCTCTTCTCCAGCTCTAGGGCTGACTGGATCCCTTTGGAAGATCTCTTAAAGTCCTTTAGTGAAGCAAAATCCTCCCACAAGTGAAACTACAAAGAGACTATACAAAACTAAAACAGAATGAGAGTGGTTTGGACTGAAGTAAACTGGCGGCCAGAGCGCACACCTCTCTCCTGTCAGCCTCAGAGCCCCTCAGACCACCACTCCCGGGGTCTGAGGGGCTGTGTGAAAAATCATACGGCTTTTCCAAAAGATTCCAACTAGAAGCAGAACCACAACTGAATGTCAGGACTCCCCAGGCACTTGCGTGACTTCATATAACCCTCACACCACAATTACCTACCACGGAAGCGGCAGAGGATTACAACCCAAACCGTGTCCTCACTGGACCGTGTTGCCTTGGAAAAACTGGAAGGATACCTGCACACCACTTCCCGCCTCCGACCTCACCGACAACTTTCTTACCCGAAGCCCTCCACTTCACCCTGAGTCCAAAGGTCTCCCATGAAGCAAATGAGATACCAGAGCTTTGGCCAGTCTAGAAGGCTACACAGAGCTGTGTGGACTTGATCAGAAGCCCTCCAGCACTCAAGAAAGGACACTTTTTGAAAAAAAAAATTGTTTTTATTGGAACTCATCTGAACATCAGATATACCTGGTGTTGGTTAGCAAGAACCGTTTGTACATTTGATATTGATGGTGCCAAAACCAAAACAGTGACTGGACATGACGGGGAAAGATGTTGAGAACAAAAAACCTGATTTTGGAGAGGAAAGTAAAAGCCAGTCAGATTCAGTGAGGATGCAAAACCTGGTACAACAAAATCCTTTTACAAAATATAAATTTATTACGAAAACCTGGAAGGATCATCTGAGAAAGGGAAAGAAAAAGGAGGCCAGCGGGAATGAGGCATGAGGGGAGGAGGAGAGGAGAAGACAAAGAGATGAGAGGAAGAAAATAGAGCTGAGCACGACGGAGGTACAGAAGCTTACCTGCCCAAACGGCATGAAAGCCTTGCTATGTGATCTCATCATAAAACAAAGCATGCGGAAATACAATGCTCTACCTCCCATCCGTTCGATTTCTAAGAGGTAAATAAAGAAGCTCCCTGGGAGGGGGACATGAGGTTGCTCGAAAACCCAACAACGAAGATTTTAAAAAAACAAAAACGAAAACAAAAACACCAAAAGCCCCACACCCCACAGTCGCATTTCCAATGTTCACTTGTTAAAAAAAGACTAAATCCATCTGACAGCAGGAGGAGGAGGGGGACAGGGAGAGAAGCTGATGGATTTCAGACAGCCTGACTCCCCTGGAGGAAAGGAGGGAGGGAGAGAGACATGTGACGGTCTCCTGGTTGAGAGGAAAAGAGAAGGGACAGAGAAGAGCAGAGAAGGGCAATTAAAACACTGACGTCTAATCTAGTTTACTGTGTTAAAAAGAGCCACATGCTCAGCAGGCCCCCTGAGGGCCCACACTGCTCCCGCGTGGCCCTGGTGGACACTAGCTCCTGGCCGCGTCCCCACTCCTCCACAGGTCGGCGCGAGCTGTGCGGGTGCGGCTGCGGCGGGACCTCCGGCCGGTGTGCTGGAGCCACTGTCGGGGGGAGGACGGGAGACAGGCCACGTGGCAGGGGAAGAACACCGAAACGCCGCATTTCAAATAAAAAAGAAAATAGCAGTCTATACACAGTTGTTTGTTTTGGTTCAGTACAAACAGAATAAAAAGTCGTTGCTTTGATGGTCAGGCAAACACCCAATTCTGAAGAGGAGGAGAGCTGACGCCCAGCAGGTGGATGAGGAGCCCCAGTGGTTGGCGGAGCGCCTGGCTTTGCGGCCCTCTCCCAGGAGGCAGAGAGCACAGCTTTAGGTAGTGTAAGCCTTTTTCCTTTTATTTAGAATAACCTTTTTTTTTTTCTTTTTCTTTTTTTTTTAAGCAATTTCCCCACTCCCAAGTCGGGCCAGTAAAGATTACATGAAAACTGGCACACCTATTGGCTGGAATACAGATGCACCAAATGAGGATTTAAAAACTTTCCGAGCGAAAAGTAGAACAAAAAGAAAAAAGAATCTCCTAGCATTTTCCCCAAAGGTTTCACTCTCCCGCCACACACACTCTCCAAAGGACCGCTACAGATCCAACTCTGCAAGAGAAGACAGAGCAGTGTCAATCGGGGAAGCTGCGAGGCCACCAGGAGGCTTTCAGTCTCGACAGGCAGAAGACAGCGCTGCCCGGGCCCGGGTCCCGGAGCCAGCACTCACCTATGTCAGTTTCTTGGCTTTGTTGTAGAGGGAATCCACTACTTTACTCATGTTCTGAATTGTTTCCAGAGCAGCTTCATAAGTTTTATCTACTGGGGGTTCATCGAAAATAATCAAGACACCCTCCCCCTGGTCCAAGATCCCTGCAGGAAACACAAGGGCAACCCAGGTAAAAGAACGGATTAGACACAAAAGCACTTGAGAAGCAGCCCACTCCCTAGCTGCCTCCCTTTCTCCAGAAAGGAGGAGAACCAGAAAGCATCTCCATGTTCCATGTGCACATGTCTATTACACATTCTCTTATGGGGATAAGAGGGGCAAGGATCCCAGGGAGCCACCACGTGAAACAAATGGAACATCTCCTTTCAAGATAAACAAGAGCGTGATGCCTCATCCGCATCCCCACCACCAGCAGCCCCCTCGCCTATATGACTTACTCACCATGAAATTTCTTGTCAAGAATCATCTGTGATAATTTCCTTTCCACGTCGGCCTAAAATCAAAGCACATGATGAAAGGGACTGGTATCCACTAGTCGAAGATCACACAGGCATGAAAGTTTTGTATAAAAGGGCAAATGGATCGAAAACAAAACGGCAACAATGCAACTTGAGCTCTGAGCTCATGGTCTCCTTACCACATGAAGAAGCTTGAGGACCTTCCAACCAGGCCCATCCAGTGTAAATGCCAGCACCTCCATGTGCCCCTCTCCCCGTCCCCACCCCCAAGACAAGCTCAGGACTGCTTACCTTGGAGAGTTTGATGAGGCTAGATATGTGTTCAATCTAAAAGAAAAGGCAGAGAGACAGTGACACCGAGAGTCATGCTTCTGCCTCTAACATGGAGGTACAGTGGGGGTGGGATTGCTGTGTCTCCTGAAACCTGGCCCAGCGTCTCTCTGGGACAGACTGTCTGTGGTCATGCTTAGGTCTCTCGTGCTCTGTCCGTCTGCCTGCCTCTCATTGCCAGACAACACACACTCCTACCCCACATGCCCCTACAGGAGTATCTACCACAGGCACGGTGACTACAGAAGCAAGGAGGGGACTGCTCTCAGATTACAAGCAGAGGCCATCTCCCCGGCCTCCACCCCACAGCACCTCCACATGAAAAGCTCAAGCCTCTAGCCCTCCAGACACAGCCCTGGAAGCAAGTTCCTATTGTGGATAGGTGTGGGAAGGGAGGGAGCTAGAGAGAATGCTTAGCCAGAGAAGAACCAGGGTCCCCCGCAGGGTCCTTACCTGAACTCGGGAAAAAGGCTCAATGACCCGGATCAGATTCTGTTCCAGCAAGTTGTCATACAACTTGGCCAAATGTGTACTGATGATTGGGTCATCCCGGAGCTCTGCCCGGTAATCTGTCAGGGCCTGCCAAGAGAGCCGGTCACAGAGATTGGCACACAGAAGCACCTGAAAGGCACACTACTCCTAGCTTCCTAAGTCGTCTGCTGGACTTTGTAAATCCATGGTTGACTGAAGTTATGGAGGATCTGAGATGAAAGACCAGTTATGACAGAAAGTAGAAGAAAAGAAACATCAAGAACTAAAAGACGGAGCCCCTTCTCGGCACCATCTTTCCATAGGAAAGTCTCACGTTGACAGCTCAAACCACGTAAGCCCCAAGAACAGCTCAGCTTGAAAGCCAGATCAACTATACAAGCAGTTCTCAAGATGTATCCACAGAGTGAATAGGGTCTCCGTGAAAAAAAAGGAAAAAAGTTTTTTGAGGTAAGTAACGGGAAATGCATTCCACAACTGGCTCGTGGAGTTTTACAAGAACATCAGCATACAGTTCTGCAGTTAACAAAAACCAAAGCATCTAATTTTGTTTAGCCCTAGGGTTTCCCAGACCCTTTTCCCAAGGAACACCTACTAACAGAAGTGTCCCATCAAACATCCCAAACTTTAAAATAAAATGATCTATTTTGTTTATTCATGAATGTAATTTATCTACCCTGAGAAATGGTCTCAATATCCAGCCTCATGCCAGCTGTGCTATAAGGTGTTAAGCAAGCAAATCATGACAAGTAAGGAAGTGAATGAAACCAGCAAGAAAGCTCTGCAAAGATGATGAATCTTGGGGGACACCCACAGCCAAATGGTCTAGCCTCTGTCCACACTACGTTTTTCTTCCTAGATCTAGGTTTGTTTTTATTAGGTTGGTCAGTATACTCAGACTAAGAGAAGAGAGGCTCAGAAGAGAACAGATAAGTCTCACACTACTGCTCAGGCAAGTTCTCCCTTTTCAAACCTTCACTAACAATGAGTGGAAGGCAGAGGAGACAAAGACGGCCTGAAGAGTGAACTGAGGAAGTGTGTTCCAGTCCACTAGCATACATCAAGACTTCTCCTTTGCCGACAGACGAGAAGCAGAGCTGACATTTCTGGAGCTGAAGGAAACCCTGAGACCGTGGAATGTGGAACAAGTGCCAAGCCTGGCATCGAACCCTGACATGTGAGCTGTGGGGCTTCGGGCCTTCTCGCTGAACCCCAGCTCCCTCAACTATAAAATGCAGGTAAGAGGTTGTTGTGAAAAATTAAGTAGAAAAGGATGACAGAAACAAATGTTTGAAACTGAAAATTACTATATATAAATGAGGTATTACAACTCAACAAGTTTCATTGTACAAAAGTGCTCAACTCTTTCCAGGTTTTGATACTGTACTAAAATTAAGATGTAACCATTGGGGAAACTAGGTGAATGGTACATGGGATCACTGTGTACTATCTTTGAAACTTCTTGTGAAACTATTATTTACAAACAAAAAGGTTTTTTTAAGTATGTAAATGCCCCTCTCCTCCACCCAATTCCCTACCAACCCGATACCATGCTTACCTTTTCAAAATCTGCCAGTGATCTGTTCTTGCTAGCCTGAGCCACACATTTTAATGCTTCTGTCTAAGAGTAAAGAGAAAAGCAGTGAAAGTGATCTATTCTGCACTCAGACCTCATCCACTAAATGCCATAAGCAGTACACTATGTCCAAACAACTTTTGGATGCAAGGAAGAACCTGCCCCACCATTGTTTTTCAGAGGCCTGGGAAGAAAAGCTAGAAAATGACCAGAGAACTATGATCTCTTTACCCCTCCTCCAAGGCTCTTTATGCCCAAGCCCCCAGACTCTTTTTGCCCTTAGACCTGATCATACCTGTGCTTCATCAACTCTCATTCTCCCAGGTTTGGTACAGAGCACGAGCCAAGGTCTATTTTCATTAGGGCTGAGACACCAGAATTCTACATATTACACTCAATGTTAAAATGCCACAGAGGGATGAAGGTACAATCAGTGGCTGAGAGCAACTTCTAACCTGGTTAATAAAAGGCACTTCACCAAGCTATCAAGTCTCCACTCAGCAAGACATCTACAATCTTTCTGGAAGACTGTTCTGACTCCTGCTTGAAAGTGGTCATCAAGGTACAAAGGACCAGAAGGACCTCCTCTCGTACCAGCCTATGCACTTACATAAGGACGCTATGTGTTACACAGCAGACTTTGTTTTGTTTTTTTGTTTGTTTTTTTTTCTACATTTTTTTTTTCAACGTTTATTTATTTTTGGGACAGAGAGAGACAGAGCATGAATGGGGGAGGGGCAGAGAGAGAGGGAGACACAGAATCGGAAACAGGCTCCAGGCTCTGAGCCATCAGCCCAGAGCCTGACACGGGGCTCGAACTCCCGGACCCGCGAGACCGTGACCTGGCTGAAGTCGGACGCTTAACCGGCTGCGCCACCCAGGCGCCCCTACACAGCAGACTTTGAAATGGTGCAAAACTAATCATTAGTCTGTCTCAGCATTTATGCCAGACAGAACAGATGTCACGATTAGAAACGCCTGGAAATGAGAGCCAGATAACCCAAGTTCAAAGTCTGGCTCCACCATTTACTACTTACCTGACCCTGTCCTGGACACTTGAGACCTCTCTTAGCCCATTTCCTGAACTCTAGTTCCATACAGGCAATGAGTCCTTCAATGTAGTAATAACGACTATTCCTGTGGTCAAAACTACGAGGGGATCTGAAACTTTTTTGGATGAAAAGCCATTTAGGACCACTTGTAGAGAAGGACAGTTTCTTCCATCTGTTAGGGCCATTCCTCCAAGGACATAATAAGATTGTTAATGGGTCTATTGTTCAGAGACAACTGCATTTGAAATCCAGAAAGATTACTTTTACTTGACTAGTGATAATCAAGCAAAGTACAAAGAAGGGATGGTCCAGACTTCTGAGACCACCTTTACACAGGTCATACTCATACCTACTCAGGCACAAAAGGGGCTCCTCCTGACTATCAAAGGCCTCTTGCACCACACACACTGAGGACATGAATTGGAAAGGTACTGAGCAACACTTGGATGAGCCATCAAAACCTAGTTTCTGCACCAAGCACTTCAACCTCCCTAAAGCACATGTGCACCAGACCTTGCCAGGCTCCAGATTCTTGGAGAACCCAAGATTTCATAGTCTGCACATATTAAGTTAACAAATCAGGCTCAAGATAGATAAAATTTTTGGTCAAAGCAAAATGCAACCTAACTTGTGCAAATGCTATGGTTCAGTTCTTATAACTCCCTCAAACCACCTGATGTCCGTAAGAGCACCAAGCACAGACTCTCCAGGCCAAGAATTTAACAGTACAGGAAACACACTGCATGGCCTTAAGGGAAAGGGGTGGCAGGGGGCGAGGGGGATCACATGGAGAATATAGAATGGAGACCTGAAGAACACTGGTCTCACTGTGCATCATGACTGACAATGTGCTGGCCTCAGAGTGAGTAGAGGATCAGAACTGCAGTCAAAGTATTCCCTACCTGCCTCCCTGCATACCGAAGCGCAAGTTTCCCGCTGACCAAAGCCTGGACATCTTCTGGGCTAGAAAAAAAAAGACAAACTCGGTCAACTGCTCCAGGATGTTAGGCTTCTAAGTATAGGTTGAGGCAAATTTGTCTCAGAATTCCACGGAGAAGACCGCCCATAGAGGTTAACAGTCCCCACACCCAAACCCACAGGCCCCTCACCTCACAGAAGGCAGGCTTTCTTCACTCTCTGCCTAAGCCCAGCACTTGAGAGCAGAAAAACTCCAGCATTAAAAAGAAAGCAGCACTGAACGTCCCAAAAGTCGTAGACCCAACAGACAGAATAATGTCGGTCAATATCTCATTACTCCCAAAGGAATATTGATAAATTCTGTAGAATTCCTTATGAAAAGATCTGTCATACTTGCTGTTGTCCCCTTTCTCAAACCTCTCCCTAACCTCTTCCTTAACCCACCCCCATTCTGGGTGGCCCACCTGGCCAGTGCTGGACTGTAAGCTAATTTCCAGGCCCACTGTCTGGTGCTCAGCAACTCTCTGGTCATAATAATTGCAGGATGATGAGAACACTCTACGAGAGTCTGGAAAGGAGATTTCTAAAATCTGTCTCCCTGATTCTCAAAGACTAGCAAGGAAATGTGCTCTGGAACACCTTCAATCCCCCCACTCTATGTCAACCAGCCCCAGAGGTGGCCACTTCTGCTTCTGTAACCAGCCCAACTCCCTGTGCAAGCCATCTGTATGGCCAAAAACTGAGGTGAAGAACTTGAGTTCTCATACCCCCAAGTTAATGTGTACCTACGTGTTGAGCATAATTTTGCACAGCAACATGTACTTCAGAGATGTGATGGCCTTGGGGCTATCGATGGAATCATAACCCTCAAATGCCTCATAGAAATATGAGTATGCAGTTTTCCAATCCTTCTCCTCTGCTGCATGGATAATACCTGGGCATTAAAAAGAAAGGAGTAAGAACCATATGAAATAATAGAACCATCAAAGATCAGAGCTGGGAAGGGCCTCAGAAATCTATCCCAACCCCATCTACTTAGTGATGAGGTCAGGAAGGGATAAAGGGCCTGCCCTAAAGTCAATGCCAGCTAGTGGCAGAGCTGGGATTAGACCTAGTTCTTTAGTCACCAAGTTCAATGTCATCTTGACAATATAAATTCCAAAGGAGTTAGAGACCCTACTCAAAGGGGATCCTAAAAACCTTTAAAAAGCAGGGGCAGGCGGGGAACGCTAACATCCTTCCCCAGGCTTCCCATCACCACCATGGTTCTGCTATCTTCTGAAGCCACTAGAAAAGGCCACGTTTAGCCTCCAATAGGTCAGGAAGTTCAACCAAATATCCTGGACTGCCTGAATGACTTGTTTTGGTAACATGTCTTTAAGACAGCTTGCCTAAGCTTGACATTTTTATATGTAAGCTGCCCTCATAAGAAAAAAGAAATCCAATCTCTTATACTCTCATTTCAGATACTTGTCATTTACAGGTGTGCTTTTGCCTAGATGCAATCAATATATAGACTTCATATAATGCTAGACATATGAACTTAATTTAACTGGACATGGTTAAGCAGTACTTCCTTCGGCTGATAGACTACAGTTTAAATAATTCTCTATCATTTAGAAGTTGGAAGGGCACCTGGATGGCTCAGTCAGTTAAGTGTCCAACTTTAGCTCAGGTTGTGACCTCATGGTTTGTGGGTTCATCGGGCTCTGCACTGACAAGCTCAGAGCCTGCAGTCTGCTTTGGATTCTATGTCTCCCTCTCTCTCTGCCCCTCCCCTGCCAGTGCTCTCTTTCTTTCAAAAATAAAAAATAAACCTGAAAAAAAAAAAAAAAGCTGGGTTGTTCCCAACAAGGCTAACTTTGATTGAACTTGCTATTACTTGCAACCTACACTATCACTTGGGATAACATGAAATTTAGTTTTTTCTAGTTTGGGAGGCATCTAAGCCCTCAGAGTCTGTATTAGTTCTAACTCCACTTCAGCCTTTATGAGGTTACAGACCTCAGCCCCATTTGTTTATTACCACAGTGCTTCCCAACATTCTTAACATCAAGACACAGAGAAAGTATTCAGCACCTTGAAATAAAAGGATAAAACTACTTACACGTGACCCAAGGGAACAATGTTTCAGCACATTTTATTTATTTGTTTGTTTATTTACTTATTTATTTATTTGAGAGAGGGTGCAAGTGAGCTAGGGGCAGAAAGGGAGAGAGAGAATCCCACAAGGGGGAGGGAGACGGAGGGAGGGAGGGAGGGAGAGGGGGATGGAGATTGAG